TATACATTAAGGACCCCAAAGAGCCCACCAAGAAACTAGAACTGCTAAATGAATTTAGCAAAGTAGCAGGATACAAAATTAATATCCAGAAATCAGTTGCATTTTTATATGCCAATAATGAACAATAGGGAAATTTTTTTAAAAATCCCATTTACAATTGCTTCAAAAAGAATAAAATACCAAGGAATAAACCTAACCAAGGTTGTAAAAGACTTGTACTCAGAAAATTATAAGGCACTGAAGAAAGAAATTAAGGAAGATACAAATAAGTGGATGGAAAGAATTTACATCATAAAAATGTCCATACTACCCAAAGCAATCTATAGATTCAATGAAATTCCTATCAAGATTCCAATGACATACTTCACAGAACTAGAACAAATATTTCAAATATTTATATAGAACCACAAAAGGCCCCACATAGTGACAGTGATCCAGAGAAAGAAGAACAAAGTTTGAGGAATCACACTACCTAATATCAAACTATACTATAAGGCCAGAGTAATAAAAACAGCCTGGTACTGACCTAAAAATAGACAAACAGATCAATGGAACAGAATAGAGAGCCCAGAAATAACCCCATAACTTTATTGTCAATTAACATTTGACAGAGGAAGTGAGCACATACAATGAGCTAAAGATAGTTTATTTAATAAATGGTGTTGGGAAAATTTGACAGATATGTACAGAAAAATGAAACTAGACTACCTCCTATACCACACACAAGAATAAATTCAAAATGGATCAAAGACTTAAAAGTTAGAGCCCAAACTATAAAGATCCTAGAAGAAAACATAAGCAACAAATCTCAGACATTGCTCATTGCAATTTTTTATTGGGTGTATCTCCCTAGGCAAGGGAAACAAAGGAAAAAATAAACAAATGGGACTATATTAAACTAAAAATTTTTTTGCACAGCAAAGGAAATCATCAACAAAATAAAAAGACAACCCAGAGAATGGGAGAACATATTTGCCAACATATCTGATAAAGGTTTAATATCCAAAGTTTATAAAGAACTTACAAAACTCAACACCAAAAAAACAACGCAATTAAAAAATGGTCCAAGGACCTGAACAGACACTTTTCCAAGGAGGACAAACAGATGGCCAATAGACATATGAAAAGATGCTCAACATGTCTAATCATCATAGAAACACAAATTAAAACCACAATGAAATAGTATCTCACACCTGTCAGAATGGCTATCATCAATAAGTCAACAAACAAGTGCTGGCAAAGATGTGGAGAAAGGGGAACTCTTTTGCACTGTTGGTGGAAATGCAGACTAGGGCAGCCACTGTGGAAAGTGGTATGGAGATACCTCAAAAAATTAAAAATGAATCTGCCTTTTGACCCAATAGGCAGATTCTGAGAATATATCCAAAGGAACCCAAAATATTAATTTGAAAGAATATAAGCACCCTATGTTCTTTGCAGCATTATTTACAATCACCAAGATATGGAAGCAGCCCAGGTGACCTTCAGTAGATGAGTGGACAAAACAACTATAGAACATTTACACAATGGAATGCTACTTGGCTGTAATAAAGAAGAAAATTTTACCCTTTCCAAAAGCATGGATGGACCTGGAGAACATTATGCTAAGTGAAGCAAGCCAGTCAGAGAAAGACACATACCACATAACTTCACTCATATGTGGAATCTAATTAACAAACTGGACCAATAGGGAAAATGGGGACAGACTCATAGATGGAGGGCAGAATGACAAATAAAGGGGGTAGATTTGGGGTGGAGGGATTGAGCTAAAAAGTAAAAAGGACTCATGGACATAGACAAGTGTGGTGAATGCTGGGGTGAGGCACAGGTATAAGGGGACTAAATAGTAATGGAAAACAAAGATTTTTTTTAAAGAATGGCAATGACATTGTCTCATGGATTGTGTGTTTCTTTCCTGTGGTATATAAGCCCCAAGCTTCATGGACTTGACTGGTTTTGTAAACATGCATATCACTTAGAGTGCCTAGCACATAGTATGGACATCCACTACTTCAGTAAATACTTGAATAAAAAAGTCTTAGAAAGAAAACTCTTGCCCATTTTACCAAGTTTGCATTGTGATGAAGCAGTTGAAATTTTCCCAGAGTCAAGGCAATGGCAGGCACATTGCCTCTGTTACAAGTATTGCTTCCGTTTTTAGTCCATTGGGACCATGAGGGCTAATGACAAAGACAGACCTAGAAGCATCTCCTCTGGGCTAAATAGTGATGTGGGTGTGATGAAGGCATGTTTAAAAAGGAAAGCCGCCCTCTTCCCACTCCAGAGAGCAAGAAGTTCTAAAGGAGGCACTCACTGTAACAGAAGCATATGCAGAAAATCAAAGTAATGCTGCAATTCCTTTTTTTTAACCTTAATACTCACCTGAGGATATGTTCACTGATTTTAGAGAAAGAGAAAGGGGAGAGAGAGAGAAAGAGAGAGAGGGGGGAGAGAGAGAGAGAGAGAGAGATACATGGATATGAGAGAGAAACATCAATTGTCTGTCCTCCACACTCACTCAGACCAGGAATCTAACTGCAACCTAGGTATGCACCCTGACTGGGAATCAAATGTGCAACCTTTTTGGCCCAAGGGAAGATGCTCCAACCAGCTGAGCCACCTGGCCAGGGCTAATGCTGCAATTGTTTAAAGCTGACAAAAGCTTCTGTAATGTGGGGCAGGTTACAGTTATATTGAAATACACTAAGAATATATTCTTGACATGTTAACAGATGTCATGATGTTGGTAAACACCAAAGATCCATCTCAGTCTTTTTTTATTTCTATCTCAAATACTACCTGCCTTTTTGCTTCATTATACATTATTCTCCCTTTGGAGAAGAATAAAGCAAAGGTATATGGTCATTTAGAAATCAAGATATTTAATATTGGCATTTCATTAGTGGTTAAAATATACTTCCAGAATATATAAAGTACAAGTAATACATACATAATTTAGGAAAAATAAAGTAGAATTTCACAGCAGGGGTATGTTTTCACATTTTGAATAGTAACTTTCCATTTTTGGAACAAAATGTCTAGCAAATAATATAAAGTAAAATAAAAAGGATTGTCAATGCAAATTTAAAAAGAAGAGATGACTTGTGATAAACTACTTACATGCTGAACATTAAGCAGTCTTCACAGATACAATGACCATAATTTATCACCCAAATGAGATGCTTCTGAGAGTGAAAGGGTGCGCTGATCGTACTTAACACTGGGACAAAAAATAGGAAAACCAGGATGTATGGTCATCTTCCTCATGGGGACACTTAATGACAACAAAACTGCTTTTCACTTTTTTTTTATCCTCACCCAAGAACATCCTTATTGACTTGAGAGAGAAGGGAACAGAAGGATAAAAACATCGATGTGAAAGAGAAACATTGAATGGTTGCCTCTCATACAGGCCCCAACTGAGGACTGTTCTTGTATGGGCCCCAACCAGGGATGAACCCTCGATTTAGACATGTGTCCCAGCCAGGAATCAAATCCATGACCTTTGGTTTACAGGATGGCACTTCAACCAAATGAGCCACACCGGCCAGGGCTAGTTTTTATTTATTTTATTTTTAATAAATGTCTCTTTTTTATTAAAAAAAAACAAAACCAAAATGAAATGGCTTGCTCATGTGCTAAACACATGGTAGGCAACTGGTCCTTTGTTTTAATTAACTGCTTGATTTGTTATAATAAAATTAAACTATTTAATCTGAATATGTTACTATTGACAACCATTAGAAGAGAAAGAGAAATTCAGTGGGTAAGCTACCGTGTTTCAAATTGTTCTGACCATTAAAAAATTGTTCCCCTTGATTAAAAATATTAATCAGAAAAACTAATCAGAATTTCTCAACTTAATATGTATTTCATATTTTTAAGATCACCCACCTTTCAGTATTGACCTGGTTGGCAGATAGAGTTCCTCTCTAGTCTCAGCCGTTATTAATTGTGGCCATCACAAATGCTGTGTCAAGATGATTGATTCTGAGGCCACCTTTGGGCTCAGCGGAGAGGCCTGTGGTGATCACTTAGTGATGTCTGCAGGAGACATAGGATGTGGAGCAATGGAAGGTGTGGCGAGTATTACTATCCCAGATTTGGGCATATATCCATTTTAACACTAATTTTATGACATATATCTAGTACATAGTTAATTTTTAAAAATTACATCTTGCTGATCCTGCATCTGCTACCTCATTAATTCTATCATAGTGTAATTAATGCACCATATATGCCACAGGAGAACAACGCTATCACTCTTAACTTGAAAGAAGATAGCAATCTCATAATTTCCACACATCATTGTTTTGTAACTTTCTTAGTCCATAATCAAAATAAGGCAAGATCAGTGTCGCAGGTTTGATTCCCAGTCAGGGTATATGCCTGGGTTGCAGGCCACGGACCCCAGCAACCGCACATTGATGTTTTTCTCTCTCTCTCTTTCTCCCTCCCTTCCCTCTCTAAAAATAAATAAATAAAATCTTAAAAAAAAAGCAAGATCAAATCCCTGAGAACTGAATAGAAAATAGTAGAAAAAATTATGCAGTAAATATGCTAACCAATTGCTCCTTTGTTTCTGTCCTTATTTTGTTGTTGGGAACTATTTTTTTATCTACTTAAGAGAATTTTAGCAATATAATGCAAATTAAAACTTAATTTTCCCCTTGCAAGCTAATATTAATGTTTTATTTTTAAATAACTATTTTCAGCATTTACTTCATTATCATGTAGTTTGTATTATTTATCCTTCATACAACAGAGAGATTTGTGCCTTGTAGTGAGGGAAAATGGGAAAATTATAGCTACTTTTTTTGAATGCAGGGGTATCCCTAATATTCCTGCTGCTCTTGTGACCATGAAGTATGTTCTACCTTTAGATCTTAATTCTCTAATTTTAAAAAATAGGGCAGAATTAAATTTAGGTTGAGGGGAAATTCATGATTTGATTGCAAGGCAGCTTTCTCACATTAATTTTGACTACACTTTTCCAAGAATTAAATCCTATTGAAGTGGCTTTCCAAAATATTTTGTGGAAAATAAGAATTAATAGATGGCAACTCCTCATTCATGATCCCCAAACAGGAGACGAATTCATCAGGCAGCAGGGTCTGTTCTGGAATAGTTTCATTGGGTGAAGCATTTTCCAAAAGCATGGTGGTTTCCCCCTCCATCGAGTTTTGCATGTCAGAAGTACTGCATTCTCCTTGATTTAAAATGAGGTTTAATTTTTCAAGAAATAGTGTATTGTTTAGTGAATTCATACTTGAAACAGAAAGAGCAAAATTAGGATATTTTTTAAACCGAGCATTTTTCCCTAGGTCTAAGAAATCAGCAGTTGTTGGTCTGGGAGTTGAGGAAGCTGTTTCATCATTATTGCTGGGATGATTTTCCTCAGTGAGAAAATTTGAAGTTTGGGGTTTATACCCAGTGTTGAGATCAGGAATATACACAACTGTAGTATTGGTGGGCAGTGACTTTTGCAGGCAGTCTCTCATCTCCAGAAATCCTGTCTTCTTTTCCTTCTTGTAGTCCATAGGCTTGTGTTCTTCTGGGAGAAAGATTTCTATCTCTGTAATCACTGGATCAACATATAGGACCTCTTCGCTGGAATTATTATTCATAAATTCACTCTTTTCCTGGGAAGAAAAAATATTGTTTTATTTTACAAAAAACATTAAATGTGTCAGCTGCATAACCGAATAAGGACTGGAATTCTAATTTCCCCCAACTTTCCTTTCTCTCTTCTTTTCCTCATATTGTTTATCTTCTCATATGATTTTCTCCTTTGTTTTCCTGTTCAAGTTCAAATCTTTATTAAATTCTCCCATGAGGAGACTGAAGGAAAGAAATAATACAAATAATATATGTTTCAAGCACATTTCTTGGCTTAAAAATTTCAAAGAGAAAGAAGCACTTTACATATTAACTTGCATATTATTTCAGGACCTTTTAAAATTTGGATTTTGAAATATGTTAATATTATGGAGACTTACTACAAGAAAATATGTGGTTGCTTAAATGAAAAAGAATAGGGAAGGGGGAAAATCCTATTTTGCTTCCATTTGAGACTAGGGTTGTAAGAAGTGCCTTGAGTTGAGGTTCTAAAGGTGTGCAGCCGCTCACAATTCAGACATGCCTGTGATTGTCAGGAGGTTAGATGAAGAAGATTTTTATTTGTATAAAAGCCTGATGATTACTCTGGGTAAGAAAAAGTTTCAAGGCTTTCCAGCTGGTGGCTGGCTCCCACCCAACACAATTATAAAATTACAGCTGGCTGCTATGGACTGAATGTTTGTGTCTCTTCAAAATTTATATGTCAAGCCCTAACCCCCAATATAATGGTATTAAGTAGGGTGTTTGGACAGAAAGTCTTCTTTGAGTGGAGCCCTCAAGAATGGGCTTAATTCCTGAACAGGCAGAACATGATTCCTCCCTCTGCCATGTGAGGATACAGCAAGAAGGAAGCTGCCTGCAAGAGAGCTCTCACTAGGAACCAAATCTTCCAGCATCTTGATCTTGGACTTCCCAGTCTCCAGGAATGTGAAATATAAATATTTACTGTTTAAACCACTCATTTCATGGTATTCTGTTATAGCAGCTCAAATTAACTAGAACAAAACCTCATCTGAAGGAAACCCTAAGATTAACTTCTAATTTCAAGATCCCAGAATGGGAAGGAAGTTTGGCAAAAAGGAAGACCTTGAATAAAGCAGCATGAACTGTTGTTCAAATTTTCTTCAGGCTCAGTCCCCCTACAGAACTTAGAAGGTTTGGATGGGGTGGACTGATGTGCATAGTAGCCCCCTCTTTTCCACAGGGAATATGTTCCAACCCCCTCCCCCAGTGGATACCTGAAACCAAGATAGTACCTAACCCTATATAGTCATGTGCCATGTAATGTTTCAGTCAACAAGGGAACACATATATGGTAGTAGTACCATAAGATTATAATAGAACTGAAAAGTTCCTATCACCTAGTGATACCATAGCCATCATGACGCCACAGTGCAACGATTACTGTTTGTGGTGATGCTGGTGTAAACAAACCTACTGCACTGCCAGTCATGTAAAAGAATGGTACATATAATTATGTACATAATTTGAGGGAGGACCCCTAAAATGGAATTATCTTCTGAAGGGCAGGCCCTTTGTAGTACAGGCTTCCCCCTTCTAGGTGAATGTTTCAGGAACCCATCTGTAGCAGTGTACCAGCTGGCACTGTGAGACGCCGTATTTGGTTCCAGTGAATTTTTTTGAAGGCTCTTTCAATGAGTTTGCCCATTTCATGATGGGTGATTTACAAGCTCACCTGCCCACACCGTGCTGAGTGTCAGCAGTTTGTGACCAAAAACAGCATTAACCCTGTGCCCCACCTTCCCTATTCACCCAATCTTGCCCCTAGCAACCTTTTTGTTTTTTTATTTTTTGCTTCCCCAGTTGAAAAAAATATTCAAGGGGAAACTTTTGCCAATATGGGAGAGGCGAAACAAAAAATGGCAGCAGCACTAAAGGGCATCAAAATCAATGAATTTTGTAGAGGGTCTCCATTCACTTCAACTGAACCTCTGGCCCATGACTTGCTCCTTATCACATTCCATGGACTCATTTTACTCCTTATGGTATAGACCCTCTACAAATTACTCACCACTGTGAATCCTTGTTTCTCAACATTTTGTTCACACCTCACCATGCGCATTTCTCTGACCCTCCTAAATCTGCCTCTTTCCAAGGACCATGCCTATTCCAATCAAAACCTCCCCGCTGGCTTCTCGTTGTCTTCAGCAGTAGTTTGCAACTCCTTCTCAGTGTTCTCAACATTGCCTTTGTGTGGAATCACTTGGAAAGCCTTGGAAAATGCTGCTGTCTGGGTCTCCCCAGGCTCACCGTCCCTGCAAGATCTTGGAATGGGCCTGGGAGTCAGGATTCTAATATGCAACAATATTATGCCTAGAGATTTCCTTGAAGTTGGGGAAGGAGTTGATTAAAGGGCTTGCCAAAGCTCCAAATAGCAGTCGCAGACTAAAAATACATATTTTTCTTAATTTGAGAAGTATCGGTTAACAGAATGAAATTCCATAGCAATAAGACCTTTTGTGATCTCATCCCACTCACAATTCCAGCATTTTTCCAGCTACTCTTCATGTAAAGCTCTTCAGTAAAGCAATACCCAACATGATCTTTTCACCTCTTTGCTTTTGCTCATGTTATCCTCCCTGTTTTGAATGTTCTCTGTTTCTTCAACTCCTATTCACCTTTCAATGTTCCCTCTACATTCCTGTCATGTTTGGTCTCATTTCTGTCACTGCACTTACATCACTGCATTGCAGCACTTGGATAATGTGGTTGTCTCATTGACTGCATTTTGGGCCTCTCGTTAACCAGGCCAGTGTGCTGGAAAGTAGGAGGAGCACACATGGGAGATTCCTTCCCCTCTTTCATAATCATCAGCAGTTCCTCCTTAACTAGCAGAGTCTCATATACTCTCAGGGTCTTCCTGGCTCACCCTTCTTTTTTTTGGAGGTGGAAAACTGGCCCACCCTTGGTGACATCATCTCCACAGTCCTCTCACATTTATTTTCTCGAATTCCATTGGGTCTCAGGAGTAAAGTGGTGTGTCCTCCTTGGGCTCCACCTGCTTCTCCAATCTCATATAAAATGGAAACCCCTTTGTGTCTTTGAGGCGTAATCAGTTGAGCTTTTCTGCCCTCTTCCTTTGGTCCCTTGAAGACATCTACCAATTGCATGGCCACCAAATGACCCTGGCACCTAGCCTACAATCTTCCACCTCACTTTTCTCTTTTGAGTAGGATTGTTTCTTTCTTTTATCTCTTCTTTCCCTAACTCTTTTCTCTCATCTCCTAAATACAATTTGAAATACGTATAATTTTGTTTCTATTTATTTTATATAGTTATGCTAATATGCACACACACTTTTTTTTTATCAGAATGGAAATTCTACACTATTAAACTGTACTCTTGGTCACAGCTGTCATTTATCTTTTACTTGACAGTGTTTGGTTACCTGTAGCATTTTCACAACATTACTGTTTTCCATATTAGGAATGTCTTCATGAAGCCATTTTGGTATGAGCAATAAGATTCTTCTTTTAATTCTGAAAAACAAAAATAGTACATTCAAAGAAGCATTTTACTTTAGGATTGGTGCAGGCAATCATAAGAGTGATTAGGAAATCGACTATATAAAATGGAATGCATAATAAAAATGAAACTTTCCGAAGCAGGAGCTAAGATTTCCATCTCTTGCTTCAAATAGTTAAGTGGGAAGTTGATTCAATATCTGTCAGATTTTTCTCTTCTTTCTATTGCTCTGCTTCTGTCTATTTAGCCGGAACATTTCAAACATGCACATTAGATTCAAGATAAGTGAAAGGACTATGCTGAAAGTGAAAAACTATACATTTGTTAGATATGGCAAAGCATGATGAACAGGAGACCTCAGTGTGGAAAAGTTTGGAAAACTTAAGGACATTTTATACAACTTTCCAAGGTGACCATACCACAGAAAAATATTAAAGGAGAAAATGTTATATAACAAGATTGTATAATTCCAGCCTCTCTAATTCTGAATTTGTTATGACTTCAAATAAGGTTAAGACGATAGTGGTGGCTCCAACCATTTTTTATGTGGTTGGAATGTGGGACGGGGGAAGTTGTCTTCCAGTATTGTGGCACAGTGAGAATACTATGTTTTATTTAGGCTGTGTGCTTTTCCAGGATCATTGAGGAAGGGTGATGGAAAGAAGATAGAGAAGCTGTGTTTGACCCACTTCTTCCCCAAAGCTACCTCTTGGCACTGTCATTGTGTTGAAAGCACTTTCTGCATTTACAGAAAATATTGATTTGAGCAAAGAGGTTGTACCAAGAAATTAAAAGAAACTAAACTTATCTCTGGCACATTTTTTCCGAGTAAACAGTGCATCTGTGAACAGCAGATCAGATGCATTTCTCTGTTTAAGCAGCTTCTCTATGGACTTTTACTAAGTAACAACCAAAATGGCTGCATGTACTTTGCTAGCCCAATTTTACCTTGCACTATAGGGGAAATATAATTTCCTCACATGTATTCATGCAATGTTTTATGATTCAGCTCTTTTTGTAAATTGGATATTACTAATTAACACTATGTTTCTATACCTAAAATTAGACCAAATTAGTAGGTTCATGCTGTTGTGGAAAAGTTTTTATATAGTTGCTACAGTGAGAATATATATATATATATATTTACCTTACATATATTTTTCTTTTGGTTTCATTATTTAAAATGTTTTTCTCCCTGTTTTCCAGTCCTATATATGAAATAAAGCTTATATAAATAATGTATAGTTATAGTAAATAATAGTATTTTCATATGTATAATAGTTATATTGGGATCATCTCTTGTTCTTTTATATTTTTATTTTTAAAAAGAATACTTATTTAAATAATTAAATTAGCAAAGAATTGTCCTATTTTCTTATTTGTCATTATCAATAGGAAGTGAATTTTAAATTATTCTTAGTAACAAATTTAATGTTACTTTAAATTTCATACTAACTTAGACTTCTTTGTATAACAGCATAAAGTATTAATATTTTTACATGTGTAAGTTGGAACATTAAAATATTTCAAAGAGCTTTATAATCAAGTATATTTTAATATAGCCTAAAATGAAGTTCCATATACATTTGACCACCTATCAAGGGTGCCAGAGATATGTTTATTAATGTGTAATTTATATACTTAAGTTCTGAGGAAAAAGTCTACATAAATTTTTAAAATCACTAGTTTATTTAGAATAGCTCATTCTAAATCTTTCTACTGCATTTTGGTTATAAATTTAAAAGAAACAAAGATTATCTCATGAAGCAAGTGATGGCAAGAAAGAGAAACGATTTCTCAGTGCCAATTAGGCAAAGAACATTCAGATGTATTAAAATTTGAAAGTTATTGGATGGAATGAGAGGTTGCCACATGAAATAGTACACTAGAGATATGTATTCTGGGCTTCTGACCAAGATGGAGGCATAGGTAGATATGCTTTGCTTCCTTACACAACCAAAAGAAGGATAACAACCAATTTAAAAACAAAAACAAACAGAACTTCCAGAAAATCAAACTGATGGAAGTCTGATAACCAAGGAGTTAAAGAAGAAACATTCATCCAGACTGGTAGGAGGGATGGAGACGGGAAGCCGGGACAGCAAGGATGACTGACAAGGCAGCAGCTGGCAGATGGGGATGGATGAGGTGGTGGCTGGCAGACTGGGCTATCCCACATTCACGTGTGGAGAAGCCAGGAGGAACAACTGGGGAGTGAGACAGATTGTGCAACCGAAGTTTCCAGTGCAGGAAAATAAAGCCTGAAAACCTCTGGTTACAAAAACCTATAGGGGCTGTGGCAGTGGGAGAAACTCCCAGCCTCACAGAAGAGTTTATTGGAGGGGCCCATGGGATCCTAGAACATACACAAGCCCATACACAAGCCCTGGGTGGGTACCCAGGAATCAGTGCCTGAAAGGGCACAATCTGCATGCAGGAAGCAAGGGAAGTGACCGAAAGTGGGGCGAGAGTCAAGCAAGTGCCACTGTGCCCTCTCTGATCCCTCTGCCACATACAGTGCCACAACACAATGAAGTGAGTTGCTCCACCTTGGTGAATACCTAAGGCTCTGCCCCTTACAAAGTAACAGGTGCACTGAGACAAAGAAATACGACCCAAATGAAAGAACAGATCAAAGCTCTAGAACAGAACTAAGTGACAAGGAGATATCCAACCTATCAGATGCAGAGTTCAAAACACTGGCAATCAGTATGCCCCCAGAAATTTTGAGTATGGACACAAAATAGAGGGAGAGGTGAAGGCTATGCAAAGTGAAGTAAATAAAAATATACCGGGAACCAACAGTGATGGGAAGAAAACCAGGATTCAAATCAACAATTTGGAACAGAAGGAAGAAATAAACATTCAACCAAAACAGAATGAAGAAACAAGAATTCAAAAAAATGAGGAGAGGCTTAGGAACCTCCAGGACAACTTTAAACATTTCAACATCTGAATCATAGGGGTGCCAGTAGAAGAAGAGGAAGAGCAAGACATTGAAAACTCATTTGAAAAGATAATGAAGGAGAACTTCTCTAATCTGGCAAAGGAAACAGACTTCCAGGAAGTCCAAGAAGCTCAGAGAGTCCCAAAGAATTTGGACCCAAGGAAGCACACACCAAGGTACATTGTAATTACATTAGCCAAGATTAAAGATAAGGAGAGAATCTTAAAAGCACCAAGAGAAAAGGAGATAGTTACCTACAAAGGAGTTCCCAGCTGATAAGACTATCAGCTGACTTCTTGAAAGAAATCTTGCAGGCAAGAAGGGGCTGGAAAGAAGTATTTGAAGTCATAAAAACCAATGACCTACAACCTAGATTTGTCTATCCAGCAAAGCTATCATTTAGAATGGAAGGACAAATAAAGTGCTTCCCAGATAAGGTCAAGTTAAAGGAGTTCATCATCATCAAATCCTTATTACATGAAATATTAAAGAGATTTATCTAACAAAAAGAAAATCAAAACTATGAACAGTAACATGACAATAAACTAACAACTATCAACAACTGAACCTAAAAACAAAAACAAAAACAAACTAAGCAAACAACTAGAACAGCAGCAGAATTGCAGAAATGGAGATCACATAGAAAATTATCAGTGGGGAGGAGGTAGGGAAAGAATGGGAAAAAAGGTACAGGGAATAAGAAGCATAATTGGCAGGCACAAAATAGACAGGGGGAGGTTAAGAACAGTTTAGGAAATGGAGAAGCCAAAGAACTTTTATGTACGGCCCATGAACATGAACTAAGGTGGGGGAGGGGCATTGCAGGGCAGAGGGAGAAAAAGGAGAGAAAAAAAATGGGACAACTGTAATAGCAAAATCAATAAAATACACTTAAAAAGAAAGAAATATGTATTCACTACATCTAGTAAAATTTAGGAAATTGAAGGCTTTATTTTTCTCAAAGTCTCATTTTCTAAATAACTAGGCATAGATCCTTACTATTTCCATATTGGGGAAAAATGATTGAAGAAGGCCAAGGAGAACCGGCCTTGGGGCTGCATGCTAAAACACTGGCATGACTGATATCAAAGTGATAAATTCAGATGGTGTCCCACTTCTCTTCACACTGATTCATGGGATTTGTCTGGGTAGAATTCAAGGCAGGTTATCACTTAACCACTCTAGAGAATCCAGGCACTGAAGATAAACTTGAGGGCACAGTGAAAGCTGTGCGGTGAAAGAGAGTGCATGGGCTGTGAGTTCAACCAGGTCTGGACTCCTGGTTAGTGCTTAGTGGCCTTTTGCTCATCATTTAACCTCTGTAAGCTTTATGTAAATTAGACCATAGAGCTTTCCTGGCAGGGTCATTGTGAGGGTTAAATAAATGACATTTGTAAACAGTTTGGCATAAGTAGGTATTTTTCTTTTCTCTGAATAAAAATGTTGATGGACATTTTTTGTAAATAACTTAATTGACTACATTTTGGTGGTACAAATATATGATCAAAATCAGAAAACAGAAATTCTGCAAAAACCTACCTAGTTCGGAGCGATTTGTTAAATATCACAATCAGAGAAAGAATTGACAACACAACAGCAAAGGAGACCATGCCCGACAAAAGTCCAATGTTCTGTTGCCTGTTGTCTGAGAGGAAAGAAAAATAATTTTAGCTAAGCTTTAGTGTCCATGTGATGTCAGAATCATTCTCTCTACCCTGCTCAAAGCAAAGACCATTTATGTCAAAGGAAAAGAGAAAGAGGGAAACAAAATTATCAAGCTGTGAAGTGACTGCTCTTCCAAACTGCATGACAACGCTTTTTGTTTGAGAAAATCAGGTTGCAGGTTGCATGTATCTGGTGTCAGTGGGTTTCTAGAAGTGCACCTCTAGCAAATGTGGTTAGTATTAGACATTTTTCTGAGCTTGTGCACGCATATTTTATATAAAAAGGTTTAGTGATGAACCTCATTTGGTTTTTCTGACACAAGTGCGAATTCCTAATTGCTTGTAACAGAGCAGGCCACAGTCGTGACTGAGGTTTTTAGTTTTTAGTTTTTTTTTTTTTTAATCTTTGGTGTGAGACAGAAGTTATATACAACTTGTCACCATTCTTTAAAGTTTGTTGTTCATGAATTTTTTCCACTGAGAAAGCAGATTCACTCTACTTAGAATATATGTTATATGTTATAAAATTTTTTATTGTTACATATCTTGCACTCACATTTTATTTGGAAAATGATGTATTGCAGGGGGGAGCGGTGGAGGGATGTGGAAGAGGATATAGGGCAGATAAATGGTAATGGAAAAATACAATAAAAATAATGTAAAAAAAAACAATAAATAGAACACTACCTAAAAAAACAATGCTAAAAATCTTTGCTTATATTTTTAAGTTGAATTAATCCCCTGAAATTGTTAAATAATGAATATAATATATTCAACACGTGTTACCTCCAGGATCATCACATTTTCTTCCTAGTATACATGTAAAACTCTGTTTTCTATTTTCAAATATAGACTGTAATTGAGAAATGATTTATCACACTGGAGTTTGTTCTGAGCTGTGCTGGGTATTAACATCCATTCTATCCCCTTTCTTCCTCCCTTTGGTGAATGTTTATCATATGCTTGTCATGTGGCAGACACTGTATTAGCCCTTCCCTAGTTATTTCCGAGCTGCACCTGCAATACATTTTGGGTCTCCAGACTGTCCAGTTCCTCTCCAAAAGCTAATTGGTGGTCAGGGGCTTAGATTACTCCAAAGTCCCAATGGATATGAAATTAATGTTTTCCTAGGACTAATTACTGAATTACTAAAGATTTCATGCAACTAATGGAAGATACTGACTGCCACATACACATGGGCATTAGTGCATGCAGGAGGACAGAGAATCCCCCTGTTAACATAGCACTGGGCAAAGGGGACCAAGGACAGAGCAGAGTGACCTGAGAGACCTGGGTTTGAAATTGACTCTGCCACTTACCAGCTCTGTAACCTCAGGGCATAATTATAAACTTGCTGAAGCTCAAGTTTCCTCTTCCGTGAAACAGAGATAATAATACCTATCTAACAGAGCTGCCTTGAGTTCCTAGCCTCCACAATTCCCACAGAAATATCAAGGTGCAGGCCTGTGTAGGCATCTGTAATTAGGGATCTGTACTAAACCTAAGCACTTGGCTTATAATTGATTCACATGTACGGATTCAGAGTGCTCACACCTTTCTTTATGACATTTACCACTACTTGACCTTATTTTTCTTGTTTTATTCATTGTTTTCTCACCTCCCCTGCATCTATTAGCCCCAGGAAGACAGGGGCTTTGTTCATTTTTCTCACTGACGATTCCCACGCACCCAGAACAGCGCCTAGCACATAGTAGGTGCTTAATGAATATTTGTTAAATAAATAAGCAAAAGTCCAAAGAATGGTCATATAATCTGCAAAAATTCTATTATTCCTGCCAGATTTCTGTGCAAGGAGGTAAGTGATCTATAAGTGGTCAATAGTGAAATAGTCATGCATAAAGTTTTTCAATTTGAAATTTCTGTTTGGAGTTGTATTTGCCATTATACAACCTGATCTAATATCCTTTTATGCCTAAAATATTTAAGTATACTCATCAATGGAGGATTGAGTCATACTAACAAATAAAATAGGATCTTGATTACATGAGAGAAAGTGCAGAAACTTCAAAATTTGAAGAACAGGATTTGAATTTTACATGTATACTTAGAGTTTTACATGTATACTTAGTGTGAACTTGGACAAGTTCCTCAACCCCTCTGAGCTTCAGGTTTCCCATCTATAAAATAGACATCTAACACTTTTCTCACCAGGTTGTTTTAAAGATAGAAAAAAGTTGATGTATATATATATCATCCTGGCTGGTAGCTCAGTTGGTTAGCGCATTGCCCTGATATACCAAGGTTGTGGGTTTGATCCCTGGTCAGAGCACATACAAGAACCAACCAATAATGCATAAATAAGTGGAATAAGAAATTGATCTCTCTCTCTCTAAATCAATACATATTTTTTTAAAAAAGTAAAAGATGATATATATATAAAACTGCTGGTATGTGGTAGACACTGAAATAATAGAAATTTTTTAGAAGGAAGTTTTGGGGTCTTGAGTCCCAGCACTAACTGAAATGAAAATGTATCTGACCCAGAGCAAAAGCTGGCAAAATCCACCTACACCACTCCTTAAATTCAATTTTAAGCAGCTCTTTGTTGCTTATTTTTCTATAGAAAGCATTTGGCAAATCTTATCAAGAAATTTATACCTGACACTTGATTTTCTCAGTATTGAGAATTCAAATAAATGATTAGTAAAGACTGCTAGAAAATCTACTAAAAAAGTTGCATTTTCTTACCAGAAGTAAGTTGTTCTTTAAAGATGGAAGCAATTAGAAGCCCAGAATTCTGAGTATCATGTTGGAATGATTTCAGCATGACCAGGGGAACTTAAACAAAAAGAAAATAGCTTCAGCTTTTTATATTTTGCACTCAGGTTACCCAATTTCCTAAGCGAGTTTCTTTACTTATTTAGAGATGATGAAAGTAAACCAGTAACTTTAATAAGCTTGAAAGATGGAATAAAAGCAAAGGCCTTATGCAAAAGCATTATGCATCTTTTCTTCTTTTTATCTAATTGGGTAAACCCCAAAGGAGAACACACTGGGAAAAAAAAACAATAAAAACTACTTAGGGTTTATGAAACTTCAAGGTGTTCCCACTAATTTCATGAGTCTTCCAGGCAACAAATGCCAAGGAGCTTTATTTCATTCACTGATCCAAACAAAATTCACAATAACTGGCCTCTACTTGATTCCTTCCAATAAATGATACAATATAGTTGAGGTTTCCTTAGGAGCCTCCAGCACGTGTCACTTGCCTTTGCACAGTCTTTGAGATGCTGTTAGTGAGCTGCATCTTGACACCACATAAGAAGCGCAATTTTGATTAGCAGACACTCTGAGGTTGTAACACGGATAGAATGCCATTAATGACTTCCCCCTGCTCCTTTCCTGCTGACAGGGATGCTGGCCAGCCCGGTCTAGTCATAAGGTTGTCAGGACAAGCTTATGAAAGCATCTGACCAGGAAGGGGTGAGCAGCCTTGGCTGCCAACTCACTTTCAGTCTGAACTCAAAAGAGTCCTGGAGCTTCCTTACCCATCTCTTCCCTCCTGATAATTAAAAGCTGCCAGGGGTGACTTCAAGGGCACGATTCTCCCAGCTGATAAAAGACATTCCTGAAAATGGTTCTAAGCCCTGGATTCCCAAGAGTGCTTCAAGCCCTATTATTCAGTTGTTCTGATTTCTGTGTTCAAATTCTTCTTTTAAAAAAATTACTTTGGGGGCCAGGAGGAAATCACAACTTGAGGTGTCCCTAGCTGCCATTGAGATAGCACTCATTTGTGTAACAAGCTATGTAGCCCAGACAACTGTCTTTGAGAAAAATACAGAGTTTCAATAAAAAGGTTCCTGTGGGTCTTTGGAAATTTTTGAAAAAGGCTGATCTGGGTGCCAAGACAAGCTCAAATGAAGAACAGTTTTGTAAGAACAATGGGTAGGGAATTTTAGAAGATGAAAACATCAGAAAAGCCAAAAGTTCTTTCCTATGCTTTTATGCTGGCTTCTCCACAGCAAGAGGGAAATGTTTCACTGTGAATTGTGACAAATCAGAAATCCCTTTCAGCTTCTCAGGACTTCAATGGCTTTTGTTTCAAGTATCTGGTTCCATCTGAGGATGCAAGGTTATGCCCCATGGCCGACAGCCAGGTTTATTCATCTAAATTGTATTTTATAAGCTCATGTTCATTCTCAGGGAACCCACACAAGAGTCTGCATCTACATTAGTTTGAAATTTTAAGAGAAATATAACATTAAAATGTGACACAATTTTTAATTTGGCAAAACCATGGGTTTATAGCATATGTTGCTCGGTTATTTTTTTTCACTTTCATTATTTTAAAATTAGCATTTTAATTTAAGAATATATATTGCTGTTGGCTTTTAATACAAGTTAATGTAATTCTTTTGTATAAAGTGGTTGTTCAGCAATGAAACTTTAGTTATTAATTTGCATTATGTAGAAGTAATTTTCATATCTGACTAGGGCTTTATTAGCCCTAATGGAGAATAAGCATGATCTTCCTTTAGGCACTTCTGTTATCATAGTTTCATATCAACCAGGTGTGTTAATTTAATTAGATTAAAGTCATTTAAAAGAGAGGCTTAATTGTCAGAGAGTCATTTCACAAAGAATTAGATATCTGAAGTAAAATGATTTATAAACAAGATTGTTGTGGAAGAAATCAGGACAAAGGCAAAATTTCTGAGTGTAGGACTGACATGAAACCATGTAGACAATATTCTTCATGGCATACCGCCCCCAAGTGGTTAACTCATTTCTTCTTAAACCATACTTAACAGTTTTCATTATAAAAGCAGTATCTATAATAAAATAATTTTAACAGGAAAAATAAAAGCAATAGAAAAAGAACCATTTCTAATGCCATCCCCATAATCTACCTGCTATTGGTAGTTTATGGTATTTTCATGTATTTTAACATGTAAAAGTATTCACAAACACAGAATGATGTACACACATAACTTTTATGACTGAAAAACTGTAACAGCTGTAATCATCAATGTGTTGTCTAATGTACTAGAAAAATCTCATGGTATATTTATTATTTATTTAATGTCTGTTGTGTTATAGTCATAATGAGAATCCTATCCCTGGAGCAGAATATTAAATTATGACTGTTACTCTCACAGCGCATACTTGAGTATACTCAGAAAACCCAAATCATCTCTACTTTGGTAAAAACTTCTATACATTTTATATACACTGACTTTTTTTATTAGAGTTAGTCTCGTAGAAGACAATGTGTTCATAGGGAATTTAGAGTGGTTTGAAACAAAAATTGTAGTATCTTATACTTGGCCAAAACTAGAAGCGTAACATAACTACATTTTTTTGGCCCACCCAACACCAGCATAATGTAATCAAATCTGCTCAGAAGGACTTGGTTTTAGCAGTAATGTATTCCATCTGTTTCTTAGGGATGATGTCAAATCAATCTCCACAACCCTTCTCTTTATGTCCACCATGGGGCAAAGTATGCTTGTTTTTTTTAAGTGACCATTTATTGAGTACTAATTATGTTGCAGGTGATGGACTAGACTTTACATACTTACTCTCATTTAATCCTCACAACAATTTAAACAGAGAGATAATTCTATTGTTTCTTTTTTATGGATGAGGAAACAAAGGTGTAAAAAGGATAAATGATTTGCCCAAAGTCACACAGGTAGAAATCACAGAGTAAAAATTTCCATCCAGTTCTGACACACAGTTTTGCTAGTCACTGGCCTCATTAATTAATAACCTGGCTTCTGCAGCAGGGTGGCTCAGGATGGGGGAGCTCAGTCAGCCCTGCAAGCAGCGTCTCCCGCACTGAGACTTAGCCATAGCTCCTCTGGGCGATGGCCAGTGTGTTGGAGCTGCCTGGCCTTGTAGGGCTCTGAACACTACCACAGTGGGTTATGGTTGGGTTAATCCATTAGCACTGATTCTTAGCATCTTCCAGCCTAGAGTTATTTTCTACTGAAAACCAACTATTTTCCTTGATTATACAAGAAATACATACTACTTGTAGGCTGCTTAAAAAGTATAAGAGCATGGAAAAGAAAATACAATTTTATATCTGTTCACAAACTAGAAACAACTATTTTTATATTTATTAACAATCTTTTGTGTATATCTGTACCCTAATGGAGCTCATGCTCTTTATTTACTAAATGCTGTCTTACTTTTCTTTTTATTTAGATATTATATCATGAATATTTCTTCATTTTATTAAAAGTCGTTCATACTAACGACAATGTAATATTTCATCATACTTGTACTATAGTTGTTTAGTCATTTCCCTATTGAGAAATGGTACAGCTTGACGGTTTCAGACACCAGCTTTAGACTTGGACCAAACTATAGTTCAAGTCCTGGCTCCACTACTTGGAGTTGCATGGCCCTGGGCAAGTTGCTTAACCTCTTTGTGACTCAGTTTCTTTATTTGTAAAATTGGGTAATAACAGCACTTCACTCATGAGGTTTGATGAGACATTTGATGAGTGAGTTCATATAAATCACTTAGTCCCATGCCTTACACAAATTAAAAGCTTAGCGTTAGCTATTGCTATTATTGGACCTTTAGATTATATTCCAAATTCTTACTATTATTACTAGCTTATAGATAATTACTATTGTACATAAACCTCCTTTCCATATCTCTGTTTATTGTCTAAGACTAGATTTCGGTAAGTGGAATTACTGGGCCAAAATGTGTGGACATTTCTAAGGCCCCTTTATTTGCTTTTTCCCTTGCCAGTCTTGTTGTCAAAGACACACTAACCATGTCTGTGTCATAAAGGCTTTGACCAGAGCTGACACAAGGGAACTTCCAGACCTTTCTTTCAGAAGGTTCTAGATATTCAAGAAAGAGGACTCATATTAAAAGAGACAAAGGTGTGCTTTTCAAATTATTTGATTTTTTCCAACCTATTTTTCTTTCTTTTGTGTGTGTGTGTGGTTGCCTCTCTTGCACCCCCTACTGGGGACATGGCCCACAACCCAGGCATGTGCCCTGACTGGAAATTGAACTGGTGACCCTTTGATTCACAGGCCACCACTCAGTCCACTGAGCCACTCCAGGCAGGTCTATGTCCTGCCTTTTAAAAAATTAATATATTATATATACTTTACTTTGTCAGTAAGTAATTTTTTAAAAAATACATTTTATTGATTATGCTATTATGGTTGTCCCATTTTCCCCCCTTTATTCCCCTTCACCCTGAACATCCCCTCCCACCCACATTTCTCCCATCCCCTTAATTCATGTCCATGGGTCATAGGTATAAATTCTTTGGCTTCTTTATTTCCCATACTAATCTTAACCTCTGCCTGTCTATTTTGTTCCTACCATTTATGCTTCTTATTCCCTATACCTTTTCCTCCCATTCTCCCCCGACCCCATCCCTCCTGATAACCCTTCATGTGATCTCCATTTCTGTGATTCTGTTCCTGTTCTAGTTGTTTGCTTAGTTTGTTTTTGTTTTTTTTTTAGGTTTGGTTGTTGGTAGTTGTGAGTTTGTTGTCATTTTACTGTTCATAGTTTTGATCTTCTTTTTCTTAGATAAGTCCCTTTAACATTTCATATAATAAGGGCTTGGTGATGATGAACTCCTTTAACTTGACCTTATCTGAGAAGCACTTTATCTGTCCGTCCATTCTAAATGATAGTTTTGCTGGATAGAGCAATCATGGATGTAGGTCCTTGCCTTTCATGACTTGGAATACTTCTTTCTAGACTCTTCTTGCCTGCAAGGTTTCTTTTGAGAAATCAGCTGACAGTCTTATGGGCACTCCTTTGTAGGTAACTCTTGACTTTTCTCTTG